AGGATTAATTGAGATGACTGCTAATAATAATTACTATGTTAATGATGTCTCAAACAAGGCCTGGTGCACAATTAGATTCAATACATCATAAGGTGTGCAGGGACTTGGAGAGAAAAGAGAGCATTTGGAAACATGGCTTCAAATTTAATTATAGAATTCCAGAGTTGGGAAGGTGCCTGAAAAACCACATGGTATGTGAGTGAGGACACTGAGACTCCTTGGAGTGGAGAAGGGTCTTGCCTACGATCACACTCAAGTCCACAATATTTGGCTGGAAAATTCCTGGGGCAGAGCACAGGCCTGGGCAGGAAGCTGGGTATTTGCTTTGGGAGCCGTAAAATGTTCGAGTGGCTCAGTTCCGTCCCCACCACTGCTGGCGCGGGCTTGCAGCTGTTCCTTCCCCATCCCATAAGCCCGAGGGAAAGCTGGCTGAAGAGCTGGCTGAAGTACAAGGGTAAGTGGCCCTTTTCTCCAACTCCCTCCGACCCCTTGAGCCCAGAGGCCCTCCTCTGCCTCAAAATCAGGACCACCCAAGCCCTCCATACCCCGTGATCAGAGGAGCCCAGTGCTCAAGAAAGTGGCAGAGGGAAGAGGTAGGGTTCTACTTACTGCACCGGTGGGCAGTGCTGGAGAAGTTGCAGGCAGGCTCTGTGCCCATGAGTGGGCTATCGGGGCCTCAGCTCAGGAGGGGTGGAAGTGGCAGGTGCTCAAGGCCTTCCCAGGGCCTTCCCTTTCTGAAAGGCAAGGCGCAGACCCAGGTTACTTCCTGGAGCAACTGTGGCAGCAGGCTCCCTACTCAGAATGGGGGTCAGGGAAAGCAGGCTGCCAGGGGCTCTGAGATCAAACATCCCTTAAGGTGTTAAACTGATGCTGCAGAAGACTATTTGACAACATGGAAAAATGAACACAGTCTGTTATTAAGGGGGAAAAGTAGGCTATGGCGCACTAAGAGGTTGTGTTCTGACTTTTGTAAATAAACACACTCACATGGGAACAAAGACTGTAAATGTTATCACCAAAGCACCATCAGTGGTTATCTCTGAACAGTGGCTGATGGATGATTTTTACTTTGTAATATCTTGACTGTATTTTCTCAGTTTTCTATAATAAGCACGTTATAAGAAAAAAAATTACTCAAGAAAGCAACACACTTTAAGCGAGCAAGCCTTTCACCAACAATTCCATTTGTAGGAATTTACTCCACAGAACACATAGAAACATGAAGAATGATCTTATTTTCATAAAAGAAAATTCTATTTTTGTTTATGCATAAGCAAAAATGCCTGGAAGGATCTGAACCAAACTGTTAACAGCTGTTGACTTCTGGGAGCCAGATGAGGGAGTTTTCTGCTTTATAGCCTCACATTTATTTGAATTTTTAAACAATGAGCAGAAGTTATTTTATAATTTTTTAAAAAGGCAAACAATCAAACAACATTCCTAGTTTTCCCTGGCTCTCTCTTGTTCTCCCTGCGCAGAATCTGGCTGAGAGTGGTGGGGTGGTCCGTGGGCTCACTCTGGGGGCTCAATTTCCATCCAAGCATCTTTAGGAAGGAGCTTTCTCTGGTCTCTAAGATTGCCCCCAAACTTAGAGCCGGGTGGCCTTGTGATTCCAGCTTTGACACCAGCCAGTTGCAGCCAGCAAACATTTCTCGAGGCTCTCTCTGCACCCAGTGGGCAGAACTGGGGAACATGATACCTGCCTCAAGATGTTCGTGGTAGTGGGAGACCCATAGTGTTGCAGGGGCCCAGAGCACTGAGTTCTGCTGGGTCAGAAAGACTGGGACAGCTGCACCTTGAGTGGGACATGAAGGATGGACAAACAGAATATCAATAGGAAGAAAAAGGAGGGCAAGGGCTTTCTAGGCAGGGGGATAAGTATCACAAAAGCAGAGGTGTTAAGGACCAAAATATGCTTAACATGCTCCATTTGGAATCCTAATATTCTGAGTGCTCTCCTTCTACCATTATATGCAGTCTTTTCCTCCTCTACAAGTAGTAGCCCCTGGAAACAGAAAAACCATGTCGTGTCGCCAGCAGCCTGAGTCGGGCTGTTGGGGGGGGGGGGGTGAGGGCTGAAGGCTGGGCCAGAGCGACAATTGCATTGGCCAGGTACACGGGAGCCACCGCCACATCTAGTTGGGTCTGTGCCCACACAATAACAGCTGCTCGTGCTGCCCAAATGTCATAAGAACACCCCTCCTTCTTCCTGTCCCCCCTATAAACTTTCACCTTCCTGCTTGGTGTGGTGCCTGAAATCCCACCACTAGTCACTCTTTTGGGAATGGCTCCTATTGTGAATGTGCATACGTTGGGAAGGGGATGGCATCTCAGGTGATAAGCCAGTTACCCTGAGGAACACAGGAGGGTGTGTTTTGATGGAGGAAGGAAAGGGACAGAGGAGGACATTTCAGGAGTGTAACAGAGGAAGAGGGAGGGTGAAGGGGGTGGGCTGTGCCTCCTGACTGTATCTCTCTTTCTTTCTGTATCTGTTTCTGCTCTGCTTCCCATCACCCCGTCTTTGGGGGTGGTTCAGGATTCCCGGAGAGACAGAGTAGAATCATGGGTGTCCCAGAGTAAGGAGAAATAACCATGCCCTGGTGGGCAATTATGATTCAGCACCTTGGCCAGCACCCACCACTCCCCCACCACGCCTCTTCAAGCCCCCTTCATTTAAGCCTCTGACATGGCCCTTTGCAACTGACCTCTTGGTGGAGTGTTTCGGGACGGTGAACAGAGTCAGGACCCAGGCAGGATGAGAGGAAGCCAGGAATATTGCCCAGGTGGGAGCAGTCAGCCTCCTGGGACGACCTCTCCAGCTGAGCTCTGTGCTGCCGAGAGACCTTATCTCTGTTGTTTTCTATTCCTGCCGCCACCCCAGAGAGAAAGACCCAGAGCTAATGGCCTTGTTAGGTTCTGAGCAGGACAAACCCTGCATTAGACTTACAGAATCCTGGACAATCAGAGCCAGAACCTTGGCAATCAATTAACTGAATCCCTAGCCCCTCCCCAAAAGAGATGGGGACACTGAGGCCCAGGGAGAGAAAGGCACCTGCTTAGGGTCACATAGTACCTTCTTGAGTCTACCCCTGACCCTGAGAGACACATGAGTCTTGGCTCGAAGTTGAGACTTGACTCACAGTTGCACAAATGCACAATGGTGTGGAGGGAGGGTTAAGGTCCCACTTTGAATCCCAGGGGGACCCAGTTCTGGCTTCTGCTGCCTGCCACTGAAGTAGTCCTTAAAGTTGAGAAGCATTCCCAGGGAGGTCCAGTGAAGAGTTTGGCTTTAGCTTTGGATGGGCCTGGGTCTTATTTCCAGCTCTGTTGAGTACTGTTTGTGGGTCCCCTGGGAGGTGATGTTTCTCCACTCAAACACTGAGAAAATGATACCAACCTCCCAGGCTTGTCTTGATGTTAGATAAGTACCAGCACTTTGTCTGCTGACCGCAAACTGAGATCCAAATAGGGATACAGTTCTCTCCTGCTCTGGGTAAGGTCTTTGCTGATCCCTCTTCCTCCCCCAGACTGTGATGCCTTTGCCTCACCTCTTTGTTTGCCTGTGTTAAATGGGGGATTCCTGGTATCAGCCTGATAACCCCAGATTCTTCCATTCAGGAATTTTTTGGAAATGCCTTTGGAGATGCCCTGATTTCCCAGAGTCCTGAGTTGGGTGTGCAAATTTGGCCCCTATAGTTACTCCCAGACACTGGGAAATGGGAAATGGATACTGGAATGTGGCCAGCACTTCTTGGACCTCGTGCTGAGGCTGAGTGGGGGAAGGGTAGGAAGGACTGTGGAGGAGGTGCTTCTCCCCCAGAAGAGAGATCCATTGAGCAAAGATGGAGGGGCATGGCTTTGGGGGAGCCACAGAGATTTGAGAGCCTCAGGTGGGGTAGGGGGCTTGGGGATACTCTAGTCTCAAAATCACCTCCCCCCAAACTGGGTGCTCTCCATCAACCAATCAGAGACCTTTCCCTCTTTTCCTGCTAATTTTCCCAATCTTTGTTCATGCCCCTCTTTCTAGAACCCCAAACAATTCAATGACTATGGTGACTCCCTCTCTGCTCTCCCTAGTTCCAGGTATAAGTGAAGAGGTCTGAGGCCTCGGGGGGCATTCAGTGTGACCTCCCTCATTTGCAGGTAAGGAGATGAGGAGAGGGGCTTCAGGGTACAGAAAGAGTCAACACAGAACTAAGATGAGGCTCAGGACTCCTGTTTCCCAGGTTGCTGTGCTGTGCAGCTGTGAGGCCCCAGGGCCTTGCCACTTACAGTGTGCACGGCTCATCTGTCCATATTCAGGCCCCTGCCTGACTCCTGGCCAGACTCCTTACCCACCAGTCAGAGGTAGGATGGACCGCCTTCTCTACAGCAGACCTAGGGACATTACTGGTCGAGGTGGTCCCACTCTCCACACAAGGTCTAAGGACGAAGATAGACTCCTTAGGGTCAGACTCCTTAGGGCACTGACTCTGGGAGGCAGCTGGAGTGAGAGGCAGGACTTCCCTAAGTGCACTGTACTTTGCAGCTTACCAATAAATCATGAGATGGGTGTTATTATCCCCATTTTCCTTGTGGAAAACTGAGGCCCAGAGAGGTTAAGTCATTTCTCTAAAGTCATACAGTAATGGAGCCTGGGTTCAAGCCCAGGTTTGTGGAATTCAGGAGACCATGACACTGTCTCGTGAGCTCCCCTTTGCTCCCAAGGCTACCACTCACCCCTCTTCCAGGCAGACTGCCAGTCTTCTCTGACTAGTAAGTTGTAATGTAAGTGCTGGCTTTAGAACTTAGTTCTAATCCAAGCTTTGCCCCTTACCGGCGTGGGACATGGGACTGTGGGTATGTCACATCTTCTCTCTGAGCCTCATCTTCTACCTCTGTAAAATGGGCATAATATTACGTACTCAGTAGGGCTGCTTTGTGGATTAGCCATGTTAATATACGTATACTGCCTGGGAGAGAAAAGGTGGGCCTTTTTCAGAATAAATGGAACTGACCACTGACATTCTGTAACTTTAATACAAATTCATCATAACTCATAAAATGGGCAACATTTAAAATAAAAATACTGCTGGGGGTGGCCCAGATTCTGGTAGATGTAGGGGCGGGGTGAGATTGAGGATTCCTCCCACCTGAGAGGGATGCCAATGGGCAGCAGTTACGAGGGGAGCCCCCCAAGTTCAGCTAGTCTGGCTCCTTTGGGATGAGTGTGGTCAGGGACCCCATGAGCTCCAAATCTAGGCTCTGGCTGAGAAAGCAAAGCTGAGGCTTGAGACATTTCGGCCACGCCTGCAGATCCACCTCCTGGGGCTGTCACCCCTGGGCAGGGCCAGAGCCAGGGAGCAGGACAGCTGGAGGCTCTGCTGCTTCAAAGCCAAGACCTGGAGGTGAACCCCTGTGCACCAGCTTGTTCGGCATCTGCTCTCACTTCCTTCTGCACCCTTTTTGTGTGGCTGGGCCTGGAAAGAAGAATCCATTTCCCAGACACCCTTGCTGCCAAAGTTCTGGGCCGGGTTTGTGTTTCCCCAACAGTGCCCCTCATCCAGATTGGGATTTGGGAATTAAATTGAGTGGGAGAGAGGCGGGCCTCATGACATCCATTTGCTGGCATGGCCAGAAGGGGAGGGAGCACAGCTCTGTGGTCCTCGGCTTCCTGATTCGGTGGCTTCCTGCAGATGGGCGCAGCGTTTCTGATCAGGACAGGCATGATGAATCTGGCGGCTGGGAGTTATTCCTGGAAATCTAGCAGAGGCTGCTCCTCCAGTCCTTCCAATGATTCTGCAAAGCCATCAGGGATGTGATAATAAATCCTGTCTAATTAAACCAGCTAAAACAGCTCTTGTTATCTGCAACAGATTCCGAATGGAGACAGATGCCAAGCCTGATGGGAAGTCCCAGCCAACAGCCTGTCCCAGTGCTCAGGTCCTGAACGAGACACCGCTCCCTGCACCCTAATCTGGTCACAGAGGCCTGGTTGGACCCTTATCCAAGCTTCTGGGGACCTCCATCAGCCAGTGATGCTTGGCCTGCAGCTGCCTTTAGGCTACTGGTCTCTGCGTCGGGCCCGGGGCGTGCCGTCATCCTGCTTTTCCACCCGTGGGCTGGAAGGTGGTGGCACAGTGACTATAACGTGGGCTCATTGACTGGTGCCTCTCACAGGTCACAACATCATCTCTACCTGCAGGTCAGTGGGAAAAATAGGAACCGTAAAGCTCTTGGTCTGGAGGTAGAAGGGTTCTCGGGCAACCCTAGGATCCGCTACTGCCTGTGTCCACTGTGGGCTGGGGTCAAGGGTAACATGGCCCGTGGCTTAGTGAGGGGCAAGTCTTAGACGTGGGAGCATGAGAGGGTTCCTGTGTATCTTTTGGGCTGCCGAATGCTGGCAACACTCTGACACATCCTGAGATCAGGGCGCGTGGGCAGGAGGGAGACATAGGGAGGTGGTCCCCCTGGCCCCCACCCCCAGAGGATGGGGATGAGGGCTGGGCAGAGGCTGCCCCGAGGAGAAGCCACATCACATCCTTGGACCAAAGCTGCCTCCCCATCAAGGTCAGAACTACAGGACATCAATGCTGATAGAGTTTAGGAATCATGGAGCACGACCTCCATTTTACAGACGGGAAACGGAGGCTGAAGGGTAAACAAGCGGTTTGAGACCTCACGGTGGCCATGCTGGACCGGAGTCCAGGCCTCTCCTCCCCTGGGCCGCGCTCCTGCGGGTGGCCGCGCCGCAGGCGGCGTCTGGGGCTCCCTCCGCCGCCCTAGATGCGCACGGTATTGATCCTCAACGGCTGCACGTTCTTGCCATTGGCGTGGCTCTGCCCGGGGCTGAAGTAGGAGCAGAGCTTGCCCGGGAACTTCTCGCGGAAAGTGTAGAGCCAGGACATGTCGTCGGCGTTGTAGAAGATGAGCAGGCCCTGATCGTAGTCCAGGAACACGCCCACCTTGTCAAGCTTGTCGCGGACGTTGAGCCGGGTCCAGGGCTCGGTGCAGGCGCTGTATTGGTTGCCGTCGTGCATGACGATGCAGTAGAAGCCGCGGCTGGGCTGGATCTGGATGCTGCCCTTGCGGCTGGCCGCCTCGTGGGCCAGCCCGATCACCCACTGGGTCTTCTCCGCCACCACCACCTCCCAGTAGTGGACGCCGCTGCTGAAGGCCTCGGAGCCCAGCACCGACACCTCCACGTCGAAGCGCTTCGGCGAGTCCTGCAGCGGCTGTGGGTGCAGGTTGCCATAGGCCACGATGGTGCAGTCGTCGGACAGGATCAGGCGCTGATGGGCAGTGCCCGGGTCCAAGGTCAGGGCGGCGGGCACTGCAGGGGACGGAGGAGGGAGAGGAGGTGAGTGGAGAGAAGGCTGTGGACTCACTCTGCCGTCCTCCCTGAGGGCCGCGTTCTGGTTGGTCCCCAGGAGGCTGTGTGATGCTGAATGCTAGCCTGCCCTCTCTGGTCCTCAGCTCCCTCCTCTGTAAAATGGAAGGGTGCCGGCCAAGGTCCTTCCAGATTTAAACCTGGCTGCAGCAGAGCAGGGACTGTGACTGCCTGGGGTACGGAACATAGTGGGTGCCCCACAAAAGTTTGTTTGGTAAACCGCAATGAAATCCAGAATTAGGGAACTTCAGAGCTGAGAGAGCTTGAAGATTATCCAGGTGCTGGTAATCACCCTGGTGGGGATAAGGACACGTGTGGGGGTGTTTGGGTTTCTCAATAGATGGGATCCGTGCATCTAAACGCCCTGAATGAAATGCACAGGGCAGTCCCGCGACCCCCTTGCCACCCAGAAATTTCCAAATGCTCAACCAGACATTCATGAAAAACTTTTTTATAATGACCTAAAATTACATCTTAACTCCATTTTATGTATGAACAGGATATAATTTTTGTACAGTTTTAATACACGGAGTAGTTTGGAACACTACTACCATGGAAACTGAGGGGAGACTGAATTTGTGTTGTTTAGAACTTCATTGAGAATTGTTCACTTTTGGGGAAAATACATCTGTTAAGAAAAATGCCACTGACTCATAAAATCTACCTGTTTGGGGCCACATTTGAGGCAGAATGGTGTTTTACCTATGGTGTGAGCACCTGACTACTTCATTATGTTTTCCAGTGTGGCTATATTGAGCACCAAAGATTGACATGTGCAATATTTTCTTATAAATCATTTCCATGTATTTTTCCTTTATATTATCATCAGAGTGTGGATATATACAATTTCAAGTACATATATATATATATACACACATATATATACAAATAATATTATCTTTGAGACATTACAAATTATTTGTTAGGTAATGTAGGTGACAGGTCTGAAAGAGCCGTAAACCATTAATTCTTTTTTTTTTTTTAAAGATTTTATTTATTTATTTGAGACAGAGAGAATGAGAGCACATGAGAGGGGG